CCTGAGCTGCTCTGCCTGGAGCCCTCCCCTCTGAGAGCCCGAGCTGTCCTGATGTTTTATTCAAATGATGCCATAGAGAACAAATGTCTGAAGTGTGGGAGGGACAGAAAAGTTCTCTCATTTAGCTCCAGCACAGCCACTAGAAAAGGATGGAGGGTGCAGCAGGCAACAGACACACTCCAGGGATAGCTGGGAGCATCCCCCAGGGCTTTGTGATGAGAGATGTCATCAACAGCAGGCAGCCCGAGCTGCAGGCCCTGGGAAAGGCTTCAAACCTGCTCAGAGCAGAACCATTGCTGGGGTCACACTGAGAGGAACAGGAGAGAGGAGTGGTGTTAAAAAGATGATGAATATTCAGAACATGTAACACTGATGTTCTCCTGTTCCAGAAAATGGTAATTAAATTTGTCCATCGCCTCTTCCCTCGCTGTCACACAGAAGAGGATGCTGCAGCTCGTGAAATAATGCAGGGCCAAGCCAGCCTTGGTTCAGCCCTGCTCCCGAGTGTGGGGCAGCCTGGCTCAGCTGTGAACGCTTGCACCAGCAGGGATTTATGGAAGTTTCGTATAAAAAAATGATTTCAGGTGAATTCCTACTTACCTAAACCTATTTTTAAAAGAAAAAAAAACCCAAAAAAACCTGGGAAGAAGCTGTGAGGGATGGCAAAGGCCACACTCAGGGATAAGAGCTTTTGATGCATTGCTCAAGTGAAATTAAAGCTTCGGTAACTCAGTTCACTTTGGTAAAATAACAGTGTGACTTTTCAATGGCAGGGATTAATTTTTGAAGCCGTAGAGGAGCATTTAGTTTCAATGAATGATGAAGCTTGACTGAATCAGACAAATGAAATAATTGCCCTCTGTCTGGCAAGGTTATACTTGTGGCTGGACTTATTTCTTAAGCAGATTTGCAGTGCACAGAAATGGGAATTGCAGGTTGGAAGCTCATAAAAATATCCTGAGAGGGGAGCCAGCCCTTTTTCTGGAGCAGGAAGGGTTAAAGGGTGAATGCTCTTTCAGGTCAGGTGTCCACAGCTCTGATTTCTCAGTAACCACATGTCCTCTGCTGGTCTAATTAAAATGTTTTGTTTAATTTCAAACAAATGTTTTAAATTAGCTCGATGGCGATGCTCTAGGGAAAATGAATTTCTAGTCATTTTTTCAGGCACTGGGCAAAACAAATGCTGGCCTACATTTTTCAGAAAGGATGTGAGATTTCAAGTGCCCTCAATATCTGATACCTAAAATAGATGTCACAGGAATGACACGGAATAATTACTTGATGAAAAATGCTTCATTTAGAGAGAATTAAATTGCAGATGATTATCCACCCCTTTGGAAAAATGAAGACTGTTTCTCAAAAAATTCGGAATCCTGGTTTTGACTACGGTTTGCTTTTATATTGGTGACTTTTTGGATTAATAAGTGGCTCCTTTCCTTTAAAATTCTCGGTGCAATTAAGGCCCTGGGAGATGAAGGTTTGGCTTTGTCTGTGTCAGGCAGAATTAGAGGCACTGAGGAACACCGGGACAGGTACAAGGCTGTAGGGACCTGCTCTTACATGAGGTTTAAGCTTTAAACATTAAAGGAATGTTTAAAACTCTGGGACCAAGCAGACAGAGGAGGGTGGAAGTGAAATAAATTCTGGAATGATGAGATTACTTTGGACAACTTAATGAAAAAAAACGCTCAGGTCCCACGGAGCCATTAAATGACTGAATTCCACATGGAAGCACCCATCTCCTCTGACAAGCCTTGGACAAAACTGCTCCTTTATTTTCATGGGGAATGATTCCTGACCTAAAGATTAAAAAGACTGGGGGGAGAGAGGGACAGAAGGAGGTATGAGCCCAAGAGACAGGAGGAAATCCATTGAAGATGGAAACCAAAGTGCTCGTGCATTTATTAAACCCAAAGGGTGCAGTTGCAGATGTTTGGGTTGGTTAATTGATGGTAAATGATTTGGAGAAGAGGCACAAATTCTTTTAAATCTTCCCAGTATCCATTTGAATGTTTTTCTTTCATGTTTCATGAAGTCCTGATATGGTTACAGCAAACCTTCAAAGCCTGTTGCCAGGCTGGAGCTCTGGGGCTCTGTAAATGCAAACCCCAATGGTCAGCACCCCAAAAAATGGGAAAAGTTAACCCAGCATGAGTGTTCTGAGGGCAGACTGGTCAGGAAAGTCCAGAAACTAACCCTGGAAATGGGAACTGTGTGTTCTGGGGATGATTCAAATGAAGTCCTAATTGAGGAATCTGCCATTCCACAGGGCTGGCTTTGTCACACGCCACCAGTTCTGGGGTGGTTGTGCCAAGGAAGGGAACGGCCTCCTGGTACCCATGGCCCATGGCTTCAGTGGCAGAGCTAACTGCAAAATAAAATGCATGTAATTGGATTAATTAACAGTACATTTCAAGGTCCTGAAATACAGCAGTAGCCGTGGGGTAGGTGCACAATGGAGGTTTGTTCCTGCAAACAGAACAAGTGCTATTTTTGGAGCAGTATCTGCAGCTCATCGAGGTGTGCTTTGCTTAAAAAGCTGCTTGGGTAGGAGTGGGGCTTTGAAGGGGAAGATAAATACTGTAATTAGGGCTGCAGGACAACAAAAGGATTATTCTTACCTATAAAATCATTTGAGTGAAGTTGCTGCAAGGATAATTATACCCAAAACTGCCTGCATGGGTCTCATATTTCCCTTACAAGGACTTACAAGACTCATTGAATATTTATAGGCCTGGAACTTAAGACGGGATGAAATGTAAAACATAAATCCAGGCGCAGTTTATGCTGATGAAACGTCCTGCAGTTGGTGCCCCAACCTTTCAGCCTTCAGGGCTGTGATGGATGAGCCCAGAGCTGGCCACCCTTGATGGATGAGCGCTGCCTGCTCCGGGGCTGGGCTCTTCTCCTGCTTTTCCTCATGCACAAGTGCTGTTTGTGCTTCTGCCACTGTTAGCACATGCAAATGAGTGTGCTGCTTCCCAGATGCAGGTTTCATATTTATAGATTAAATACAGCCTGAAAAATCATATGTTAATTACATTCTGAGGGTGTAGCAGAATTTCTCACTTGCACATATTTTGTTTTGCTGGGAATAGCACAAATTCCAGATCAATATATTTATAGTTGAAGCTTAGTAATAAATGTATCAGGCTGCAGAAAAAGCTTTCTAATCGTTACTATTACTAATCTCTTCCCATTAGCTCAGTGCTCAGGCTTCTGTCCCACCTTGTGTATTTGTTTCTTTGCTTTTAAAAACCTGTTGTTCTCAGAAAACAAGGGGAGGGGAGCTGGCAAAGGATCAAAGCCAATCAAACAGGTGAGCAGAAGTAAGCTGGCAGGCTGAGAGGTTTTGAGAGGAACAGGACACCCTGAAGTTGGCTCAGTTAGTCAGAAAAACCCTTTTTTATTCCCTCTGAAGGTCCCCTGGCCCATCTGTGAGGCTGTAAATGCAGCCTGCAGCAGCTCCTCCCTCAGTGCCTGGTCTGCAGAGGCCAAGGGGAGCTCCCTGTCCCTGCTGGGGCTGCACAGCTGCACTCTGGGGCTGCAGGGGAGCTCCCAGTCCCTGCTGGGGCTGCAGGGGAGCAGCACAGCTGCACTCCTGGGGCTGCAGGGGAGCTCCCTGTCCCTGCTGGGGCTGCAGGGGAGCAGCACAGCTGCACTCCTGGGGCTGCAGGGGAGCTCCCTGTCCCTGCTGGGGCTGCAGGGGAGCAGCACAGCTGCACTCCTGGGGCTGCAGGGGAGCAGCACAGCTGCACTCCTGGGGCTGCAGGGCAGCACAGCTGCACTCCTGGGGCTGCAGGGGAGCTCCCTGTCCCTGCTGGGGCAGCACAGCTGCACTCCCACCCCAGCCTGGCAAATGCACACCAGGAATATGGGGCAGAAATGGGCTCAGAGGGGGGTGCAGCAATGCTGGGATTTTAAATCAGGCTGGTTTTGCCCTTGGGGATTGTGTTATTGAAGGAAAAGCTGAGCAACCCCAACACAAAACAAGGAGGGAAATTTGGGAGAAATCAATACACAACATTCAAACTGCTTTCTTGTTTACTGTACCAGAACCTTGCAAAACATCAAAAATAGAGAGGAAAGCTTAAAGTACACAGTGAACATTATTACAAAGAAAAGTCTGACACAACAGCCACTGAAGTCAACAGAAAACATTACACAGGCTCTCCTTGGGGCAGGATCGAGATAGACAAAGCAAACAGCTTCCTAATAACAAACACTTAGAAATGTGCCTCTCATCTTTTTTCTCTCTAGATGCAAGTCCTTTGATGAGCAGTTACAGACTCAGAGCTATGCCCATAATCCCTGGGATGACTGGTGTGGACTTTAGGCAGAGATCAGCCTCACTTTAGGACAAGCCTGCTGCATTATATAAAACACAGAGTAAACAGAAAACACCTCCACTCCCCCCACATCCCTTTTTATAGGTCTCATAAATCTTTTAATAAATAAGTAAATGACAGAGGTGCCAAAGGAACTGGCAAACCCAGAGGTAGTTTCTTGTTTTTAGCCAGGCATCTCTGGCACAGCCCTGGCACTGGTCCAGGGCCACAGATGCAGGGCCACAGATGCAGGGCCACAGATGCAGGGCCACAGATGCAGGCACAGCAGCTGCTGGGGAAGGGCTGCAGGGGCAGCACAGAACTGACCCTGTGCTCCTCCTTTTCCCCAGTGCCCCTGGAGCTGCAGCAGAGCCTGGCTGAGGGAAGATGCGTTGATAACTCTGCTCCTCTGCTGTGCTGGGGGTTTTGCAGCAGCTGTGGGAGGGTGCCTGGCTGGCTGCAGAGGTGCCAGGGCAGCTGCAGCTGCTGCAGGGGGCTGGGATTGCACCAGGGCAGAGCATTTGTGTGTGCAGGGAATGCTCTGCCCTCGGAGGCCTCAGGAGAGCAAACACCTGGCAGCTGCTGCAGGGCTGATCCAAAGGGAGCTGCACAGGGCTGAGCTGCACAGCTGGCACAGGGCTGAGCTGCACAGGGCTGAGCTGCACAGTTGGCACAGAGCTGCACATCTGGGACAGAGCTGCACAGCTGGCACAGGGCTGAGCTGCACAGTTGGCACAGAGCTGCACATCTGGGACAGAGCTGCACATGGCTGAGCTGCACAGCTGGCAGGCTCTGGGTGCTCTGGGTGCTCTGGGTATGTGCCAGCACAGTAACACTGCCCCTCTGCCCAGCCCTCTGAACAGGTGGCAAGAGAAAGCCAAACCCAGTGACATTTCCATCATTAGAGAGCTGCAGTGGCTGCCAGCTGGAGTCTTGCAAAGTCACTGGAGTCTCAGCACCAGAGTCTGGTAGGTTTCCCTTTCACCTTCCCAGGAATGATGTTTCTTCACGTAGTCTTTGGCCCGTGTTGTAATTTCCTTTTCCATAATGGGGTCGTTCATTAAACTCTTGGACAGCATGACAAACTCCTAAAAGAGATGAAGAAAAGAATCAGGTAAAATTTCTTTGAAGAAGTCCTAATGATACTGAAACAGCTGGTACCTGTCCAGCTGTGAGCCAATATATGAGGCTGTCCTAGGTCATTTTTCATGGTCAGGTACCATACTTTATTTATAAACAGTGATCAATAAAGAATAATTTTATTACTTTACACAGCCCACCAACTAAGACATTAAAAATCAAAGACATTTCCAAGAGTGTTAAGACCAACAAGCAACACAGTTAATGACACAAATATTTCCTGCCTCTCCAATTGCTGGAAGCCCAGGCTGGTTATAAATTAATTGCCTGCTCTGCATGGAGGACAGCTGGAATCAGGTGTTTGATCTCAGCTCAGTTAAACTTTTATCTCATTGCTACTGCGACACCTTCAGTGAATTTCATGGTAAGACTAAAAAAGTCCCAACACAAACAAGGTGTCAAGGTAAGAGCAGGTATAGAGCAGGGTTAGCTCAACAAACACCAAAAAAAGGCAGATATTCCCTTTAACTTCACTGGCCAAAACAGCAGAGATCAAAGATCACAACTGCTCCTCTGCCTGCTCCTCGGCCTCTCTCATTTACTTCTAGGCAAAAGAAATTGTGGACTTCAAACATGTGAAAGGAGATTTGATGTCTGAACTAATCTATTCTGAGCAGCTGGTCTAATTTTCTATCAAGAGACGACTTCCAATGCTTGAGCTTGATTACAAATGCGCTCAGAGCTGTGCAGAACAGCGCCCTGGCTCAGCTCAGACGAGCAGGCAGCTCTGGTGGCACAGGAAAATTGAGATAATGTGTTAGCACACAGCTGGCAGTGAGGATCAGTGCACAGGGGACAAAGAGGATGGGAGGAGGAGACACATTATTGACACAGGCTGTGAGCTGGGGAAGGAAATAGCACAGGTGAGAGCAGAGCTCAGACCAGCACTGGGTGAAGAAGACAACTGGAGCTGGAAATGGAAGTACACAGAGTGTCTGAATGTCCTCACAGATATGGAATCCACACTCAGCACAGGATGGGCTGAGCACAGCACAGCCTGTGACTGACCCCTGGGACACAAATTCACTGCCTGGACTGTCCTGGCAGGACAAAGCAGCAGGAAAATGAAGCAGCCAGACACACAGGTCACTTCTGTCTGCAGGCAGGGGAGAGAAAAAGGACATTTCCATACCCACAAGTGAACAATAATCTGAGCTCTGGACACCAGTTCTGTGTCCTGCTCCCCTCCCACAGCTGCCTGGGGCTGATTTAGCTGGGATTTCAGCCCCTTCCCTCTGAGATTCCTGGAGCAGGAGTGGGAGCACCCGGGCTGTGTCTGCCAGAGCCAACCCCAGCTCCAGACAACACAGGGAAGGTGGGAAATCTCACCTGACTTCTGCTGCCTTCATCCAATTGCCTGGAAAATCACAGTAATAAATACTGCTCACACTGAGCTACATCCCCAACTTTAATTTTATGCTCCTGTGGAGGATTTTATTCAAAGTAATGTTTAAAAATAATTTATGTAAATTACCTAAGAGCAGAAGCAGCAATGTAACATTTCTTGACAGGTAGTCCTATTAGCATTCTTTTAAAATGTGGATATGGGGGACAAAAACTTGGAAACATGTAAATGATAGAAGAAATGAGATCCTTATTCACAGTAACAATACTTAAGGCTGAGGATAATTTCAGGAAAAAATGCCAAACTGAGTCCAAAGCATAAAATTCGAGAAAATGCAGGAGAGAGAGAAAGCAAATGGAAAAATGCCAGGAGATGGAGAGCAAGGACTTCTCAGCTTTATCCTGCTGCTTCCCCTAATCCAGTGTGACCACCCACAAGTCACTTGCAATCCCCCTGGAAGCCAGTGGGGAGATTCACTGTGACTTATCTGGGTTTTGCCTCGTGGCCTCGGAGCAGCTGGCTGTGCTTGTTTTCAGGTTGGGATGCTCAGCTTTAGATAGCAATAACTTCATTTTTCAGGTGTCTCCCCTAACTACAAGTGACTTGCATTTCAGCTGTGGTTTTGTGGTGAGTCTGGGCTTGCAGCATGCAGACATTCAGAGCTCAGCTCGTTCAGAAAATCCAGCATTTCATTTGGCTGTTCCAGAAGCCTGTGGTGATATATAAAGTAATTACAGGGAGGTTACACCTCTCCAGAAGCTGTTCTGCCCTATTTGTGTGAGTGATATTTGCACAAATTTATATTATTTATATATATATATTATACAGATTTATATATATTATTTGTATTATTTATGCACTCCCATATTTTGTTGTAGATGGGAAGTAAGCTCCAGTTTTGGTGAAAGAGAGGTCAAATTCACAAGTTGCCTTCCAATTATAAAACCTAAGGGTGTGACTTTCAGCAGCCCAAATGAGGGAGGTGATCTAAATGCTGCCTCACAGCTCAGGGCCATCCCTGTTTCTAATAAACCTTTATTCCCTCACAGGAGTGGGTATAATTAATTTACAGGTGGCAGCAGAACACAGTGAAAAAGTTGAGGCTCAGCAGTCACGACCCAGAAAAATTGGAGAAGATCATCCAGAAGCACTCTCACATCTGCCCTTTCCATGGGAAGGACTCCACCACAAACACAGGCATTTTCCTACTGCAACATCCATAATACAGTTTTCTCCTGGTAAATTGACCAATCATCCTTAAAGAAAATGTCAACTCCTCTGTATAGTACTGAAAATAAATCCTGTAGAATATTTTACAGAGCCACAGGAACACAGGTATCCAGGAGATAAAGCTGGAAAATGAGTGCACTGAGTAAAAAAAGAATGAATAATTCCTCAATTACCACGAGAGCTGCACTGGTGCCGAAGCTCACACATAATGAAAATAAGATGCATGGTTAATCTATTATTTATATAATGAAAGTAAGCCTGCAATTAAAGCATTTCACAGCAGCTTCAGCAGACAGAACGTGATTCTAAAGGAACAGCAGTGACCCCAGGGGGGAAAGGCCAGGTGTGGAGGCAGTGCCAGGTACCTGAGACAGAGCCCAGCTGGCCCTGTGAGCTCCCAGTGCTGCTGGGGACTGAACTGGGGGTGCTGGGGACTGAACTGGGGGTGCTCAGCTGGCCCTGTGAGCTCCCAGTGCTGCTGGGCTCTGAACTGGGCTGCTGGCACTCCACAGGCTCAGAACTGCTCTGCCCAGGGATGCTCAGAGCCCTGGGCTGTCCCTGTGGTGGGGAGGAAGGCTCTGCATGGCACAGCAGTGCTGCCCAGCCGGGCTCCCACCCCTCCAGACACTCCAGGGGCTGCCCAGCTCAGCTCCCTCCACCTCTGTCCCTCTCTTAATGCCTTTGGGGTTTATTTATCGCTTTCTCTTTATTTAGGTCCTTCTGTGAGCTTTTGAAGGTACAATTTTCAAACTCAGCCTGCTGAATAACTCTTTGTGTCTTCCCTTTCAACACAGTTTTGCATTATTTATTGCCCCGTTTTTATCTCTTACTTTTTTTACTTCAGGTCCCATTAACTCAGTGTCAAATATTCCATAAACTTGCAAATTCAAGCAGCAGGATCAACCCATGATTTAAAAGTAATGTGCACAGTAATGTGCACAAATGATGGAGTGTCTGGAACAAAACGTTCCAGGGCTTTCACTCCCACATTAACCATTTCCATGGGGCTGCTGGCTCCAGGGACTGGCAGGGCTTTGGCTATTCCCAGCCAAGTGCAAACGGTGAAGGATGGCTACAATTAAACACAACATTTCCCACTTTCCTGGAAGCCACACAAGCTCACTTCCAGCAAGAATGAAAGAAGAAAGCCAACAGCCCTCACCATTTAAAACAATTCTCATTGCATAATGGTCAATTAATATCCCTCTAATTGGGCTTTCAAAGGACAGCAGGCACAACTGTCCAAGGTGCTGCAAAGCTTTCCCTGCTCAGATCAGAAAGAAAATGAGAAATGCTTTCTACTCCAGCCAGGATCCTCCAAACCCAGCAAGGAAAACTCCTTTTCTCACCCACCAAACTTTCCTCATCTCTGGTGGTCCAGATTCTTCCAGCCAGAGACAGATTTTCCCAAGCACCTAGACACAGTTCTAATCTTTTTGTAGATTAAAGGCATTTTCCTCCCTAACCTGATGCACAGCAGAAAAGATATTTAAGATGTTGAAGTAATCAAAGTAAAAAAAAACCCAACAAATTTCTTACCAGAACGTGTTTTCCAGAAACACAACAGGATGCATTAATCACACAGTGCACAAGGTAAATAAATAAAATACGTTCTCTACTTTGCAAAATTATCAAATGGTGTATTTTAGTATGTGTTTTTAATCTTGAGTTGGGTAAAACTCTGAGGGAATCTTTTTCTGAGTCATTTTCCACGGCAGACATGCATATGTAACAGCAAAGCCCTAAGGCAGGAAAATCTGCTGAAATTAAATTTTCCAGCATTTAAATATGGGTAGTGTTCCCTCTCTCCCCACTCTTATTTAACTTCTATGAGACTTCATCCTAACACTTCACTTAATTTAATCATTAATTTCTCTGACTGAGCAATATCTTGCATCTAAAAATACTCCACATTAACACTGCTAGAAATTACAGAAAATGTGTCATCTGCAACTTGAGGCTGACTCTCTTTTGGTGAGCCACAGCTTGTCTAACACAAGTTCCTATTTCAGTTATCACTTGAAGGGAAATCTGACACATCCAGAGCATCTCCTGCAGGGTTTGGTGATGGAACCTTCGAGCCCCAGTGCAACAAGTGGCTGTGAGCAGAAACATTCAGCAAGGCTGACACCTAGTACGAGCTCCCTGAACTGCAAATGCAGCTCCAGGAAGGGAGAGCCAAGGGCCCAGAGACAGACACAAGCCTGGGACAGAAAATGAACCTCAAGGTCTGTGCCTTTCTTACCTGGGGAGTTGAAAATAGCAGTCCTGTTTCCTTGTGTTTTATTATTGCTGCATTCCCAGGAATGTTCCTTGCCAGCACTGGAATATCTAAATCCATTGCCTAGAGGAATGCAAAAAAGGGGAACAGCACTTTCTAAGGATTCATGGATTCAGGAATCTAAGGATTCATGGATTTCTGAGGTGCTAACGATGACAATTTGAACAAGAAAAGCAGAAACAACAGCCCAAACTTCTTTCCCACCCCTCCAGTTTTTTAATTGAAAAACACATTCCCCAGAGAGCTCTGCCAAGGCACTTCCCAAAACAGAGCTTCAGCTCTGAGGTGTGCAAACCCTGGGCTCTCACATGTCCTGATCTGGAGCGTTAATTACTACTGATGAATTGGGAAGTCTGGAGATGCACTGACTGTAAAACCAGAAATATTCCTATTGTGCAATTATCCCAGCGAGGAAGAAATTCACTCCCCCAAATCTTCAATCTGTTTCATACTGATTCCCTGTCACTCCAGAGTCAATGCATTTTTAATTGCTGTCATTACAATCCTGCATGAGAAGCAATTTTGCTTCAGTTCACATGGCAAGGAAACAAAATTCCAAGGAGAAAACCATGATTTTTTATAATTTGGACAAAACTGAAGATACAAATACCTGGGCTGATAATGGACAGGACCAATCATATTTTGAACAGGAAAGGACTGCTGGGACTTAGCAACATGTTTTAATAATTTAAAATACCCAAGAAAAGCACAGTTCAAATCATGCAGGAGTATTAGTGTGACCACTGCATTTCCATAGCCCTGGCACACATCTGCTTTGCAGAGCTGAAAATAACAACCCTTGTGACAGAACCTGTCCTACACTTTGGATCAGAAACTGCCAGATTATCTGGGGTAATTCACACAGATTAATGAAGTGAACACAAACCAGAATAAATTAGAAATATAGAAACTACAGACTAGACTTCTGCATTTGTCTAAGCTGATGAGAGAGAGCTTTTTTAGAAGAAGCTTTTAAAAAGTCACTTTGGTGAAATAAAACAGTCTTTGGTCACCCACAGATCGTTGTGTCACTTGCTGTGACCTCACTCAAACCTGTTTTCCAAAGGAAGAGCTCCAGAAGGATGAGGAGGGTCTGTCCCATCAGTACAGACAGAACTTCATCTCTCATCCCCCTGCCAGCCCCTGCAGCCCCAGGGAGCTGCTCTGGGCTCCACTCACCCCACCAGTCAAGCACCAAGTTCATATTTCATTTTCTGCCATTTCCAAACTTTAAATGAAAAGAAATTTGTTCTGCCTCAGACTTGGAGGGCAGGAGCTGCTACAGAAAATCTTCAGCCCCCCAAAGGCATAGGTACCACTGAATTATAGCTGCTGAAAGACACACCAGATGGCCAAATGCTTCAGATGCAGGGCTGCTGTTATTCCACTGGCCTTAAACAAATGGATTGGGCTGTAAATAATTACTGCACAAAGTGCCTCTGAATTTAATTTAGATACTTAGTCTATATTCAAGCAGTAAAAAGAATCATTTGCGTTGTTGAAAATATGTATAATTTACTGACCCAGGTTCCAGGAATAATAGCATAAAACAACATTTCAGTCCATTGGCCATCTGTTTTGTTACATTATTTTGACTGCAAATGTGTTTTACTGCTATTACAGGAGGATGCAGGGTGGAAATTGAAGCTGTGGGAACGTTACCCAATAACATCCCTACCCAGCAATACAGGGCTGAGAGCAAATGCAGGCTTTATTTACCACTCTGTCTTCTGGATTGTCCCTCATCTTCTTCCTTCCTCTAACCCATGCATCTTCTTGGTGCCTCTTCAATTTTATTGCTTTACAACATCCCTTCATCTTAATTTATTTTTTATTTTTATATTTGCTATGGCTTTTATTCCCAACTGCTAGGCCTGTGTTGGCCAAGACTGGATTGTGCCTCACGGCACAGAAGAGTCTGTCCAACTTCCTTTCCTACAATTTTTGTTTTTAATTGGCTTCTTTTTGGTAAAAGCCTAAGAATGTAATGATTTTCACAGCTGGGACATTCCTGAGAGCACAGAAAAAGGGCTGCAATGAGATGGTGCTGTCCAAACCTTGTTTTTAGGGACAGAGGGAACACAGAAACCTTTCCAGTGGTGCCTTTCCCACCATCACGTGCCCAGCAACGTGCAGAGCTCCTGAGCTCTCAGAGGAAGAGATGCATTTTTAATGTTTGCTGGAATGTTTTGTTTTCTCTTCTTCAAATGCCAAACACAAACAGATCAGTTACAGTCAGATCTGAGATCTCAGAACCAGTGACACAGTCATTAGTGATGGCTCCCAGCTCTCCCCTACCTTGAGGCAGGTTCAACTAGATGCGATTATATATTTATCTCAATTATCTATTGTGTATTTATCTCACTCTGAAATGCTGTTTACAGATTCATGACCTTGTTAAATGTGGAACTTTGAGGACAGTGAGAGCTGCATTTCCAAACTCAAGTGTGTTTTCTCCAGCCTGGAAGCAGAAGGTTTTTATGCACATTTTTCTGCCGTACTGTGGAAGAAGATCTCAGCAGATTGCCCTTCCTGCTGCTGGCCGTCCAGGAAAGAACCTCCCTGTCCTGGGCTGCCCTTCCTGGGAGGGAGAGGGGTTTTGGATCAAATCCCACTGTGCAAACACAGCCCCCAAACCCTGGGGAATCCACAATGACTGTCCTGTCAGCCCCGAGCCTGCACACCTGTCTGAGCAGGGACACCCACCTGAGCTTACACACCTGAGCCTGCACACCAGAGACTGCACACCAGAGACTGCACACCTGAGCTTACACACCTGAGCCTGCACACCTGTCTGAGCCTGCACACCCACCTGATCCTGCACACCCACCTGAGCCTGCACACAGACACTGCTGCTGCAGGTGCTGGGTCTCCTCAGAGCCCTCCTGCTTTGCTCCTGTCTCTCACTCCCTGACACCCCAGGAAATCAATCAGGTTGATTTTTGGCCAGCTGTTCTGTAGCAGCCCTGAGGGGACCGTGCAGGTGACAGGAAGCTCCCCCTGAGGCAGTGTCCTGCACACTCCATCCCCAGGCTGACACAGCCCCACTTTGGGAATGTCACAGTCAGGAACTGCTGGAGCAGTGATGCTGCTGTGGAGGAGCAGCTGCCTCCCCCTCTGGGCAGTGGATCTGGGGATGGAAACACACTTCTGCTGTCTCACCATCCTCTGCCCTTCCCAGCTCTCCTCATGCTCACTGAGTCCTTGCTCCTGAGGACTTTGAGATGTGTGGAAATGCTGGAAATGCAACTCATTAGAAACAGAAGTGGGAGGTTCATTAATACAAATGGTGGAAATAATTTCTGTGATCTTCTGAGATCACAAACCAACATTCAGCACCCCCCAAAACAAATGGAATCATGAAAGGCATTTCCCCAGAAAACTTCCACTTCAAGCACACTTATTTTTTCCTGAGAAAGTGCTTGATATTAAGCAGTGCCCTACTTTGACAGGTATGAAATAAAACTGGTTATTAATTTTCAATACTGATGGGAAAAGGATTAACTGAGCATGTCATTCTTTCATTAATCATTTCAGAATTAAATAACCAAATACAGCTCTTAGATTGCTTTTTGAAAGGATGTAAAAATAAATGAAAGTCCATTCTAGCAACATTATAAGGAAGTGGGTGTTGAATCAAGCCTAGTGACAACCCCAGTAAATCAGAATGATTTCTACATCTCAGGTCTACCATTCTATCCTTTAAAAATAAATAGAGAAAGCATAAAAACCTGTCAGTTCAAGGGAAGGAAACCTTAATTGCTAACACTTGCAAAAAGAAGTATTTTAGTTTTGTCTTCAGTAGCTTTGAAATAGAGTGTTTGCACCCATTCCTGAAGGTGATTTCAGATTGGGGGTGACCCCTCTGAATAAGCTTCCTGGGAGCTGGAATTACCTCCAGGATGGCAGCAGACATCCCCTCTGAGATGGAGCTGTTCACCACGGCAAAGCTTCTCCTGACAGCGGCGTGCAGCTCCTGCTGGGGCAGCTCCTGCAGCACGTGCACCCCAGGGAGCCTGGAGAGAAATGCAACAGAACACTCCTGAACCAGCATGGAAGGAGGGACAGGCCCCAGAAGAACTGATGGGACTCTTCCCTCTGGAGGGGAGGCACTGGAACTGCCCAGAGCTGCTCTGGATGTTCCGTCCCTGGCCATGTCTGAGTTGGACGGGGCTTGGAGCTGTCCCTGCCCATGGCTGGGAGGAACTCCCCAAAAAAACCCTTCCACAATTCTGTGAGTAATAAATCGAAATCAGAGTAAATCAGATGTGATTTAGCGCAGAGCATGAACATACTGAGTTATTCTGACATTTTAAATGTTTGGAGTACCTAGTCTGGGACTGCTCCATGCCAGATAATCCCAACAGATTTGTCAGTCCCACCGAGCTGTGCAGGGACACTCCTTTGTACAGACACCGTTCTACAAGGGGCAGCCAACTGCTTTCATTCAGCAGACAGAAGCTTGAACATCAACTTCTTACCTTTTAACCTGCTCCTTAACTTCACTGCTAAAAAGGGGATCAACCTAGAAATGAGCACACACAGAGCTTCAGCACTGAGCTTATGTTTGAAACACACAGAAATAAAAGTTTAGCACATTTTTTAGCTGAAATACTTGAAATGCTGAGCTTTAAGATGATAGCACAGATCTGTTAGTTGGCTGTCTCAAAGCTGGTGTGACTCCTGAGTGAGGGGCAGGGCACTGAGCTACCCAGGGACTGTCCCTTTATTGGAGTAAAATGTGCCTCAGTGAGCTCAGGAAGCAACCTGCACAGAAACTGAGACACTCACATGGATGCTGGGCTCTGGCAGAAACAGCTGTTGGAAATCCAATAAACAAAATTCCCAACCCCAGTCCTCAGTAAATAATAACACAGAATCCACAACTTGAGTAAATAACAAACACAGAATTCCCAGCTCAGGTCAATAACAAACACAGAATTCCCAATCCCAGTAAATAACAAACACAGAATTCCCAATCCCAGTAAATAACAAACACAGAATTCCCAATCCCAGTAAACAACACAGAATTCCCAATCCCAGTAAACAACAAACACAGAATTCCCAATCCCAGTAAATAAACACAGAATTCCCAATCCCAGTAAATAACAACAGAATTCCCAACCCCAGTAAATAAAGCCAGAATTCCCAGCCCCAGTAAATAAAGGCAGAATTCCCAGCCCCAGTAACTGCCATGCCCACGTGCAGGCAGGCTGCAGTTATTAAATGCTGTCTAAGCTGGGTGATTTACTCCAGTAGGTTTATTTACAAAGCTCAGCTCTCTCTGTTCTTTTCATTTAGCATGATTAAAAGAACTTGAAAATCCTTAGCTAGACATGAAGAACAGAACTCAACTTTTCTTATTAAGGCTGACTGGTTATATTAGATTGATACATGATACCTTGCAGGGAATAACGTGATTTTTTAGTGTATATTAATATTTTGGGTTTGGTTGCTGGGTTTTGTTTCAGATTATGAAACAGAGAACACTCCCAAATTGTTTTAGAAAACACTTTTGGCAAAAAGTCAGGATTTATTTTGTAACTATGGCTGTATGCCTTGAACACAAAATTGATTATTTTATGAAAACTGGGCTTCATAAATGGAAATATTCAGGTGAATCACTCTTGTACTAAGGAATGAATTCCTACTGAATACAAAAAATAAAAGCCTTGCTTAACTGCTTAAAAAAAGTATTTTTGCTATTTTATAACGAACTTCCAATTGCCATTTCTATATAAATACATTTTCAGCTTCTTCCCCAAAGTTGTATTTTGATGCTGTGTTCCTCTCATGAGGAGCCACCTCTGTTTCCATTAAAATCCATGGAGTTCTTGCAAGTGATTTAATGAGCAGTGGGACAAGGTGTTGTGCTCTTGTCCCTTTAGAAGGATCAGAATTACATCCTGTGGCTCCTCACATTGGTCAGATGTTCATTCCTGTCCCTCTGCTCCACTGGAATCCAGGCAGTCCCATCAGCCTCAGAACCAGCTTTGGGCTGTGTCCTTCTGCTGTCAATGGTCCAAGAATCCTGCTCTGAAACTGAGCACTGAGCTACAATATTGGTGCCAGGGTGGGGATGGAGGGGTGATGGCCCTGAGCCGTGTTTGGGGTCTGGGATCAGGCTCAGTCCTGCAGGAGCTGCAGCCAGCAGGAGCTGCTCTCCGAGCTGGGAACCTGCTGGGACCGTGGGAGAGCTCCCAAAGCCTCTGCCTCTGGCAGGGGGCTGAGCACAGGCACCCAAAACCATCCTGACAACAATGTTCTCACAGCCAGGCACCCAAAACCATCCCAAAAACAACATTCTCATACCCAGGTACCCAAAAACCATCCCAAAAACAACATTCTCACATCCAGGCACCCAAAACCATCCTAAAAACAATGTTCTGAAATAATGGTCTGGGAACATCTTTATAGTGCTGAGGCTCCAGACTTTGTAGGGGAAAACAGGTCTCAGTACATTTAAAATCCTGTCAGAGTGTCACCAGAGTGCTACAAGTGAAAAGGCTGAGGGATCTGCAGAGATATTCAGTGTGGAGAGGGAGAACTTGCTCATTTTCTCAGGTTTCTGAGGTTTTGGCAGCACAAAACCAAAGAATCCCCTTTTATTGCAGCAGCAGGTGACCCCACACCCCAGTGCTTGTCTCTGATGGGGCAGTGTTCTGTGCTGCCCACTATTTATCATTTATTATTTATTATCTATTATCTATTATTTATTATTTATTAATTTTTATTATTGATTATTGATTATTTAGCCCAATAATGGCTAAAAACACCCCAAAATGAGCTGGGAGAGCTCACCCAGAAGATGAAAGCTTTAAACAAAACTTGAAAGTTTTGTGGCCTTAACTTTTTTTTAAAGTTTCATAAGCTCCTATTCTGGGAATATGGAGCTGCTGAAAATTAGCTGCTGTTCCAAATTTCATTATAGAAATGAACAAAAGGAAAACTCTTAGTGGAGACAAATGGTGAAAGTTTTACATAACACAGGCCTCAACCCTGCAACATTACCTCGATTGCACCATTTGAGACAATCGTGCAGAGAAAATATATAATATAATAATAATAATAATATATAATCTTATGGCAGCAAATAGATCATCTCATGGAGGTAAAGCAGAAAATAGAGTGTGGGCCTTTGTTCTTCCTCTTCTTAATTAATATACTCTTACTGCACGGGCTTTTAATATTCACAATAAAAATTACATGCTTCATAGGTGGTGGCACTGATTTTCTTAAGATTTCTGTGCTTTGAGAAGCAACATGAATAAGAGGAGTACAGCTAAATACCAATAGAGCTGAGATGTATTTTTTTTTTAATTTAGCAATATTTTAGTTCCATGAGAGAAATATGCTTTAAGATGTTTTAAGGAGGTTCAGCCCCTGATCCAGCCTGGGTGCTGCCACGGGGTTATTTCTGCTCTGTAAAGACATTAGCTTATAAAAAAGTGAAGCAAATTTAAGAGGATGACTAAAATGTTTAAAATCCTCACTGGAGGCAGCGAGTGCATCTTTGGATTCCAAGGCACAGCTTCATTCCACCTGCTCTAGATTTGCCTTGCACACCAGTTCACTTCCAAATCATTTTGTGTATTAGTGTGGAAAAAAACCCAAATAAAATAAAAAAACGTAAAAAAACCAGCTTTTAACAAAAAAATCCTATGTCCCAAAATTTACAAAGAATAAAACTGAATGAGAAAAGAGAGAAATTGTTATTTTCCTGTTGAGAGTCTATTTGGTTTTTGTATAAAGCAAGTTTTCAGGCTGGTGTGGGGATGAATCCGAGATGGGACTGACACAGAGGGATCACATTGCCCAGATGGAACAGGGCAGCTTTTAGTCCCCTTCAAGCAGCAGTGAGAGTTTATTTCACATCACCCAGCTGCCTCCTCACTGCTTGAACCGAGGCTCCAGGCTGCCTTTCCCAGCCCTGTGCTGCAGGATCCACATGCAGAACATGGATTTGCACTGAGTTCTGTAGCTTTAGCTGCACAGGCAGCACACAGAAGCAGAGGAATTGGGACAGAGGGACCAACTTGAAGATTATTCTGAGATGGGGATGGATAAAAAACCTGTTTATCCAGGCTTTGGTGCACTGAGGCTCTGTGTGGAAAAGGAGCTGGGCTGGTTTTGTCAGCTGGAGCTGTGTCCTTGCTGCCAGGTGTCAGACAGAGCCTGAACATCATTTGGCACCTGCTGGCAGCTGCTAATTGTGCAGAAAGCCAGGACTGAGCCCAGACTCCCAGGAATGGCATCAAAGCCCAGATGGAATGGAACAAGGACCCAGGGCTCCACGGGAACCAAAGATGTAAGGACAGGGATAATGAGCATCTGAGGCACCTTCACAGCATTCAAAATCCTCATTAGCAATGCCTGTGCAAGAACATTCTCCTGCCTTTCAAAACATTTGATGGGCTCATTTCTAAGTCTTCCCTATTGAAACAGGCATTGCTAAAAGTTCACCTTCGAGGAGTTTGTGAGCATCTAACACCCCACAGGTGTAACAGCAGTAGCCAGGAGTAGAATCCAAGTATTTTGATGGTTTTTGATGGCTTTTGATGGTTTTTCTCCTCAGAAGTCCTTTCTGGAGTGGGAGGAAGTGAGGGAACAGAGCTGGGCTGCCCTTGGAGCTGCTCCCCCTGCAGTGCAGGAGCCCTTCCATGGACAGTTCTCAACTTGGGGACTCTGGAATCACTCCCACACTTCAGTGGGAGCTGGGAACAGCCTTTACAGGCTCTAGGTTTGTACCTTGTCTCCTTAACAGAAATCCCCTGACCTAGGTGCAGTTTGGAGCAGAGCAGTGGTATCTCAGATGCACGTAAATGGAAATGTTTAAAAATAAAAATTACTTACTGCAGGTCCAATAATGCCCAGATGGACACTGGGATCCTTTCTGTGCCAATCTGAAACAGAAGAGGAACAACTATTTTATTAATAAAAACTATTAAATTTTAAAATCAGTATAAACAGCCCCATGATTAAAGAAGAATCAGACAAATATTGTATTGCTACTTAAAAGACTGAACATGCACCAGATTCCATGCTCAGCCCTCTCATTACCCCTCAGAATTCAAATATTAGCATATCTGAAAGTTAGCATTTAGCCTTTCTGCTTCCTGCAATCTCTTCTGACTCAGGGGTTATTTAACTAAGCTCAGATATTAATTTTGAATCACTCAAGAGAACAATGCTCTGTATAATGCAGTGACTCTGGCCACTAAGCCAAAATTGAATATTTTCCTGTGTAAAGGAACACGTGGAAAGCCAAAATTGAATATTTTCCTGTGTAAAGGAACACGTGGAAGTGACTGCAGCCATCACAATCATTGCTCAGTAAAATGCACAAGAGACACCTGCTGCTCTGAATCCCAGCAGGCAACAATGCAGTCCTGCATTTGTCACCCAGCATCACAGGGTTTGAAGGGTTAAAAAAGTCAGTGGAATCCTGCTAAACCTCCAGAATGCTCGAGCCTTTCACAGACACAAACAGAGCCTGACAAAATATTCCCTTCTGTGACTGTGAGGAAACCTCAGCCCAGCCTGAGCACCCAGCCAGAACAATGGCTGGTAAAATCTGTTTGCAGCTTCAATGGCATTAATTAGCACACATGCAAATCAACCCAACAGCCACGGGACAGCAAGATAAAAAAGTTATTTTGAAGTGTGTGATCTTTTCTTTTGTCTTCCATCAATATTGCATGTAACAGCAAAACAGTTTTCTCAGCAAGTGAAACCATCAAATGTTGCTTTGATTGGAATGCTCTGTTATTCCCAGCAGGAATAATGTGTTGAGCAGATCAGTGGTTACGTAAGAACTTCTTTTTTCAAATGTAAATATTCAGTGACGTTTCCTGCAATGAGTAAAAGAGCTCCTGCCAAACTTGGAGATGTTAAAAGAATGCACTGAGAGTGGCAAAACGAGAATATTCAAATGGCCACTCCTTACCTGAGAAAACTTCTGCTAAATACAGAGGGTCCTTGACTCTTCGGAGCCCACACACCAGAAGAAACAGATGTAAAGTGTCTGTGTCTGTGGGAATATCTGCAACAAATAATTGTAAATAATAAATTTGTAATTCATTAATGCTGATAAAAAAGCTGAACAGAAGCAGCTGAACAGGTTCTGTGAATGAGCATGTACAGTGGTAAAAGCAGGAAAAGAGTGGATTATGAAAAATTGTCATTATTCCTTGTTTCTTGCTCTTGCATCAATCCTCAGGCTGAGGATTTAAATCATTTTATATTTATGTTTATTTCCAGAGGCAGTGAATGTGCAGGACTTGCAGTAAACTCTGGTGTTCTTGGACACCAGAACCAGCTGTGAGGGCCCTGAGCAGCTCTGGGTGGCTCTCAGAGGTTTTAATCCTAAAAAGAATAACTTTGCATCCATCTAATAACTCCCCCCCTATTTCCAGGTGTGGGATTTGGTTATTCAGGCTTAGAGCTCTGACACTTTCTGTAAAGATCAGGAAATGTCCCATATTCTCAATCCCTGTGTGCCAGCACTGCTACAGAATAAAATACAAGTTCAATTATTTATTTTACACTTATTGCTAAAACACAGATGAAAAATAACTCGGGGGGGAGAAAAAGGGGGGAAAAGCCTCAGCATGGGAACTTTTGAAAATCTCTTCCACATACACAGCAACAACTCCTGTCTGCAGGCTTCCATGGGAAAAGGAGGATGCTGCATTCCCCTGGGCTCTGTGGCAGGACCATCAGCTCAGGACATTCTGTTCAGGGCTCACCTCGAGATGAGCTTTGCTAAAACCTGCTTGTGATAAAACACAACCCAAACAACAATGTGAGTTAATAAACACTGGAGGGCTTGGAGTGCTCACATTTGATTTGCTGCACTGAACCAATCGCTTTGGTGTCCTTCAGTTCAGCCCCTTCTGCAGCTCCTGCATTACCCAACACTGCTCTGCTGCAGGGTCAGAAATGTGCTTTTAAAGTTTAAAAGCAGCTCAGGAACGTTTAAATTCTCCCTGTCACAGGGTTCATTACTGAGTCTGTTTCATTCAACTTAAAACAACCCTGAGTTGTCACAAGGGGCTGCAGCAGATATGGTAAATAACATTTCACTGCTTATTGGACCAAGAAATAATTGGCAGTTTATAATACACAAACATTGGGGTTGGAAAAGCCATTCTTGTGGTGCAGTGGGCCATTAACACTGCGTGGTCTCAGACGTGCAGCAGTGCTCTGCACACAAAACAAACTATTAAAAAGTGTTACCAAAACTCAGACTTCACTGCTGCTGTCCCATGGGGCACAAACTCCCATTTGGAATTATGGACTCCCCCTTACTGATGCTGAGCTCTGGCTATTTGGGAACAAAACGTGGAGTTAGTGCTGAAAGTCACACAGGAGGAGGAAACCAGGTTTTCCTCTTCTCACATGGAGACCATAGAATTACTGCACTCTCAAAATAACTGCCCTTTTTAATGTTTTACCATCTTTTTGTTTCTATCTTACAGCTTTCAGTCTTTTATTAGGTGAGGGTTTAAAGCCCTAACAGTCCAGTTCTGTGCAGCCCTGGCTGCCATTCTGCTCCCTGAGCCCGAAGAGAAAGAGGGAGCTGCTCCCACAGCCATTCAGACTTTCCCATTCTAAGGCACCTGTCCCAGGAATCTCATCAGTTACAGCCCAATTGCTACCGTGGAATGACCTAAAGTAATCCTCATTAATGCAAACAGCTCACTCAGCTGAGCTGTGTCACTTTGGAAAGCCATTTCTCACAGCAGGCTCTGCCCCTGGTGCAGCTCCCAGAGCCCACCTGGCTGAGGATGCTCTGTGCTCTCGGAGCCAGCAGCTGTGGCTGCAGCCTGCATCCCACATGGATCTAACCTTGGCAGGAAGGGCTGCTCCAACAGCATTTGTCTCTGTGCAGTGGATGAGGATCTGCTGTAGATTTATTTCATTTATTTATTTCAGTGGCTCTCAGCCATCCCTCAGCTCATTTTCACAGGCAGCCTTTCCCCCTGGATCCACCCAGAGCTCTGTGTGCCCAGGTGAGACCGAGCTCCAGCAGCACCTGTGTGCCCTGCTCACCTTCTGCCCAGCCCTGGAATGCTGAAATTCCCTCCTGGTGCTCTCTGCAGCCCTGCTGGGAAAATCCCACCCAACAAACACCACTTGTCCCTGCAAGCAACAATTTCAGGAGGCTCTGTGCTCTCTGAGAGCATCTGAAGAGCAAAGGCTGCCCTCCCAGCCACAGCCACAGAGCTGCCCTTTGGAAAAGACATTTTTTCTTTTTCCTTCAGCTCGAACAAGACTTTAGTATGTGAGTTTTTGCTATCGTTCTGCCTTTTGCAGATGTAATAAGATGCTACCAGCTCGTGTGATTGTGAAATGGAAACACATCAGCGTGGCACAATCGAGTGATTTTCTCTTTCAGTACATTCCCTGTGCCACTATCTTGTTTGAATGAAGGCAAACACCCAAATAACAAAAAAATCCTTCAGTCCCTTTCTCCCCATTTCTGCTAGTGATACAAAAGCAAAGATTTCCAGCAGCATGCTGTGCTTTCATTATCTCTCCCCTCATGTATCTTCCTGTTTGCCTGACAAAGAAACACAAAATGGAAAGATTTGTACATAAACCCTGGCAATTAAAAAATAAAATTAAATAAAGACTGCATGGCACGTGTTTTCCAGCAATCCCTCAAGATCCACTCTACACTGAACACAAGTGAAGCCCAGGCACTGTAACCAACATCCCTGTCAGTGTCAGAAGAATTGTTTGGAGTCAGAGTGTGAACAAAAGCTGCCAGGGTTTGTCTGTGGCCCTGCTCTGCTCTCTCAGCTTTCCCTGGGACAAACAGCTGGCACAGCCAGGATGGACAGGAGTGAGAGTGGTCACTGCTGTGTCCCCAGGAGCAGGGATGGACAGGAGTGAGAGTGGTCACTGCTGTGTCCCCAGAGCAGGGATGGACAGGAGTGAGAGTGGTCACTGCTGTGTCCCCAGAGCAGGGATGGACAGGGAATGGTCACTGCTGTGTCCCCAGAGCAGGGATGGACAGGGAATGGTCACTGCTGTGTCCCCAGAGCAGGGATGGACAGGGAATGGTCACTGCTGTGTCCCCAGAGCAGGGATGGACAGGGAATGGTCACTGTTGTGTCCCCAGAGCAGGGATGGACACAGATGAGCTGCAGGAGCTGGGGCACAGCCCTGCCAAGCTGAGGGATACTGCAGTGCAAAACAGGAGGGCATTGCCACAGGAGAGCTGGCATTGCCACAGGAGAGCTGGCATTGCCACAGGAGAGCTGCTCATCACATCAACAATTTCACTGCTGCCACAGGAGCACAACCATGGGAGCACTCGGGGAGGAAAAGCCCTCCAAGGTCCCAGGTCCAGCCATCACCTCACAGCCACATCTGCACATCCTTCCAATCCCTCAGGGTGCAGAAATTCCCCCAATTTCCAATCTAACCCTGCCCTGGCACCACCTGAGGCCATTTCCTCCTCACTGGAGAGAGCAGGGCCGTGGCACACTGAGAGTTTACACCTGGGCCATTATAAAATAAAATCCTGCACAGCACCACACCAACACAGACAGCAAACACAAAAGCCTGAATAATTTCTGAAGCTTCAGCAGGGACCTCGTTTTTCTAAGAAAGGCAGGAATAAGTACAAGTGTTATCTAAAGAGATTTTGAAAGTGTAGATTCATTTAACTCCATCCCTCCAGGTACTATCAGGAAAAAAAAAATGTAGCAGTCTTAGGTGCACAATAAAAATAAATGTATTACTGCAAATCTTTAATCTTACTGAAAGCTGCAGGCCTGGAAGTGAATGAGTAATACCAAGCATTAGCTTGCTCAGAGGTAAAGAAGAAGATTTAAAAATTAATTTTCCAACCCCTGATTTCAAGTTCACTGTTGTGCTCTACAGACCTTTAGAGAACAACACCAAGTCCAAATTATTTGGGCTTATTCGTCCATTTCTGGTTTTGTTCAGAAACAAAATGTAAGCCACGATGAGATGGGGAGGGGAAATCACCTTCTTTTCTTTTCTGGTCACTTTGAACCACAGCAGGTCTTTTCATTTATCCATTTCTATTCCATTTATCCACCTCCTGAGCACCTGAAAGCATTGACTGCTCTCCCCAAGAGGGACATCCATAGGTTTATAGATGAGATTTCAGTCTTTTAAGACAACGATTTTATTTTCTTGAGCATGAAAATGGATAAATTTGTCCAACTGCAGCACAAACCTTTGACACTCCAAATCTTTCGATTCATAGCTTTTCTTGAGTTCTCCTCCCTGCACACTGAGGAAATGCCTTCCCTTGGCCCCTGTGGTCCCTTGGCACTGGAGTTTGGGTTTGTGTCTGTGCTGGCTCAGCCCAAGGTGCTCAGCCTGGGGTGGGGGGGTCCTGCTGCAGCTCCCCTGCTCATCCTGACTCCAAACAGGGCTCAAATCCCTGCTGACACACAAGTGCCATCAGAGACCCAACCAGCCTTGATTTCACAATGCACCTGCAGATCTCAAACATTTCTGTATGAAAGGTTCTGCATTTCCCTTCACAAAGCAGCTGTTTGCTCACCAGGGGCAGTGCAGGCAGTAACTTTACCCCAAGTGCTCACACCCAGCAGGGAGGATCTGCTGATTTTGTGGAGGCAGAGAAGGACAATGAACCTGGAAACTTCCAGGGACAGGCCACTAATACAGGAAAACCAGACTGCAAAATTCTCAATCAATTCTTCTCCCATTTCTCATTATTTTTTAACAAATCAAACAACAATAAAGCTCTGTGTTTTCAGATCAGTTTGGGAACTCAGTTTATCGCTGCCATCATACAATTTTTGCCATGGGCAACTGTCTGAGTGCACAAACTTTTCCTGTTTAGTTTTTCTTATCCAGGTCCCTCTTTCCAGCTGAGCTTTAGGAAAATCTAATGCCTCTGTAAAACCCTGCCTGTGTCATGACAGGTTATGTAAACTTCTCAAGCTCAGAGAACAGCCCTGCTATGAAGCAGAAATTACATGAGAGCTGAAAAATCAAACTACAAAAGCATCCAGCATCTTTTGGTGTGCAATAAGCACGTGAGCCTGTGGTTGCAGGCCACCTCCCAGGAAAGCAGCTCTGAGTCCTGTCTGCTGGCTGAACACACATTTCTCAGTGAATCATGCAGCCTTTGTTAGTTATCTACATCTTCTCATCACATGGTGTTTATTGGGGGCTGTATCTCCCAAGCTCCAGCCCCATTCCGGTGAAATCAAAAGGAGCTTTGTATCCTGCAATGATGGCATCGAGTCTGTGATCACAAACAGCTCTGCCCCAGCCCTGAGCTCTTAGAGGAGATCAGTCTCAGGTTTCTCATTTATTTAAACTGTCTTGTCATTTTCTGTCAGTCAATTCACAGCAAAGGCTGAACCCTCGCTGACTCTCTCAAGTCTATAGATAGGGCTTCTAAAATTGCTTTAACCAAGCTGATTGTGCTCTGTATAGATCCCTGCAATGTAAGGTCAGGGAAAAACAGTTTGATCATCTGGTCTGATCTCCAGGCTGACACAGGCAGCAAAGCTTCCTGAAATAGGCTGGGTTACCCAACAGGCTGAAAATGTTGTGTTCCTGGAGCCTGTGCTGAGCTCTGCACTCGCTTCAGCCTTTTGGTTTGGCTGCTGCTGCTCACAGTCTCTCATGCACAGAAGGCAAACTGTGAAGTTGACTGTTAACCACAATGCAGAAGAACTCTAAAAGGCCCCTGGTTTTTAAGATTTAGCCAGTGAATGCTGGTTAGCCAGCCCCTGGAGCTACTGCAGCTACAGCAACAACCCCACGCCATCCCCTCCACAACTCTCAGCTCTGCTGCTGAGACTAAGAAAAAACACTAATTCCAGGATTTTTGCACTGAGGTTGTACTGCACCCATAATAATAACAACAAAAACCTTTCACAGCACTGCTTCCATTTGTGTTATTTGATTTATTACTATTACATTCTATTCCTGTGTAATTCTATTTACATTAGCACCCAAGCTATCAAATGGAACGTACAAAAAAAGCTGGGATTCCTTAGTTTGGTTTAGTACCAATCAAATTTGGGGGCTGGAAGTCTCCCACCATAAAATGCATTTGGTGCATTCTGCCACTCACTTAAAGCTCCCATTAAATTCTTTTTGAAGCTGTTACATTGATTTAAAGAGGCTGTTTATGTACTGGTGTCATATTCAAAGTGAGCAAATGTTTCCTCTGACCAAAAAGAAAATCAGTACAAAGAATATTGGTAGGAAGTCTGTTCTGTGGGAGAAAGTCAGGAAGCATTCTGAAGGTTCTGTTTCACTGAGAGGATAACCTGACACCCTGACCACTGAGGGTGTGTGACAGCAACGCCTCGAGTGCATTAAAACCTGCACTGCAGGGCGTGGCTCCTCCTGTGCAGCCTGAATTTATCCAACATTCAGGGGTTCTGCTAAAAACACAGCCAGGGCTTAACTGGAGAAATATTTCTCCCCAAAAAATCATTAATGCCTTCAGACATGGAACAGAGCTTAGTGAAAAAAGCCTTAAAGAGAAGATGAGAAATGCCAGGAGCTGAAGGAGGCTGGGCAGCTTGGTCTGCATTACAGCTCAGGCTCTTTCCAAGCACACATCGTGCAAGGCCACGCTGCCAAAACCTTCTGAGCAAATCTGCCTCCTGCTTCTCACAGTTTCCTTCTCATTGCTCCACACTCAGGAGAATTTTAAACACTTTGGAACTGCAAATGCCCAGGAAAAAAAAGCAATTCGCTGGGAACTCCTAATTAGTCCCTGGACAGCACAAAGGTACAGCCAAAAACCTGACTCCATGTGCAGCACTGAAAGAAGTGGAAATTGTAGGCTGCCACCAGAGATGGACATAGGCACAGGGAAGAGAAGGCAAATGAGATGAAACAGTCATAAAAACAATACTGAATAATCTGGTGCCAGTTTTCAAGTTATTAAATAATAAGGCACAGATGTTAGAGTCACATTTTAGTTTGCTTTTCGTGTACATTATGAATTATTTTGCACTTTTGCATTAGCACACATTAGGCAAAAAACTGTTTCTAATATACTAGAAATTCACTTTAGGGGGAGCTTCCCCCTCCTCAATCTGTTGACTACTCATTTAATCACAAAATGGTTGGACAAGAGATCAAATCAACACTCAGGCTGTGCTAGCAAGTGACAAATCATTTCACTTCAGAAAATTATTAATCTTAGTGGCACTGTGCTTGTGGGCTGTGATTTACTGAGAACAAAATAACCTCACAATGCTCAATTTAAAATTGACACTGGCTTTGACTAATGGCACGCATTTCCTGATGTGATAATGCCATTGACTGCTGAGGATTCATTTGCAGCAGAGGGAACAGCTGTAGTATCAGAGATCAGGCTGATGGATGTAGAACTGAACCGTTTTTACCAGGGTAAAACGCCTATAAATCATTCTTTTGGGAGAGATGAAGTGATGGCAGCGTTGCCACGATCAGGTGACTGGGAATTGGGTCACCTGCCCTACCTGCCACAGGTGCCAGCAGGGACAGGCTCTGGCTCATCAGCAGATCATCCAGCAGCAGCACACGGATCTGCTCAGCAGGAGGAATCTGTCCTCTCCTCCTCCTGCTCCCCTCTGCAGGCAGCCTGGCTTGTGTCACCCACAGCGTGCTCAGGGCTGCTGCTGTGCCCTGAACGAACCTCTGGGGACACTGGGGACACCCTGGGGACACCCTGGGGACACTCAGGGACACCCTGGGGACACTGAGTCACACCCTGGGGACACTCTGGGGACACTGAGTCACACCCTGGGGACACTCTGGGACACCCTGGGGACACTCAGGGACACCCTGGGGACACCCTGGGGACACTGCCCCACGGGCTGGGATCACCTCAGCTGCAGCCAGGCCAGGAACCAGTCTGGGCACTTGGTGAGCCAGACTCATCTGACTGACATTCTGCCATCTTCCATATCATTAAAACACTTTTTTACATAATTAATTAAACTCTGATTCTGTGTTTCTTTCATCCTTGCCACCTATTAGGAATAAACACAGGGGAAAAAAATGAGTTTTACCTGCATTTTGTAGAAATCTGTACCAGTCAAATGTTTCGCTGGGTGTAGTCTTAATTCCTGTGTAAAAAAATAAAAGAGACTCCCATGTTTAATGTCCCCTGGATGGCTGAGCTGTGCTTCCTGAAGGAATAAAATAAAAATAAAATAAAAATAAAATTAAAATAAAATAAAAATAAAATAAAAATAAAATTAAAATAAAAATAAAATAAAAATAAAATAAAAAGAAAAATAAAATTAAAATAAACTAAAAATAAACTAAAAATAAAATAAAAATAAACTAAAAATAAAATAAAAAATAAAAGAAAATAATAAAATAAAAAATTAAATAAAAAATAAAATAAAAAAATAAAATAAATAAAATAAAATAAAATCTCCACACACAGCTACCAACACGTGAAACACAGAAATCAAATGTCTTCATCACTGTTTCAAAGCTCTCACCTTGACTCTGGACATATATTTTCTTCCTAGCATCTGGCTTTAAAGAGAAAGAGAAGGAAAATAACTTTCAGAGTTCAACATAAAAATATTCATCTTCCAAAAAAAAAAACCACCACAATAAAGAGTAACAAAACACATCAGTGTGATTTTCTTTTGACTATTAAAAATCAAAACAAGCTACTAGCTACATTAAGTAACTCCAGAAGCCAACAATGTAATTTACATTTCTTATGTCCATTTACAGTACCAATGAATCAATTTTGCAATTAACACAATTACCAAGTTAGTACAATTAACCTTTTTTAGTTTGTCTCTGTAACCTTTCTCATGACCATTATCCTATTTTCCTGGAATAAAACAAATTTCAACTGTCTAGCTGAAAATCAGCTCTAGTTCCCAAAAAGCTGTTGGTGTTGAAAGACTGGTTTTGAAAATCCACTTTACATTTATCCATAATACAATTTATAAATGTACCAGTTTCAGAAACTGCTGTCAAATATATAGACTTGCCTAGACAGGAAAACTGGTGCCTGGTAGTTATTGCAGAACATTCCCAAATAAAAATTGCAAAATAAATTACTTTAAAATAGCTGCAGTAAAAGAGGTAATTACTACACTTCCAAAATCACTCCTGAAGTGCTGCTCTGCTAGTTATTTAATTTGGGTGATTAAAGAAGCAATTTCCTATTTCAATATCTTTCTATTGCTCCAACTGTGGATTTGTGGAACACTTTTTTTTTTTTAAATTAAAAGAAAATCAATTCAGAAACAACCGCAGTTACTAAAAATGAGCTGGGAAAAGAAACTGGAAGAAAAGAGGTGACTTGAAAAGTCATCTCCAAGCAGCTCACAGATGGGAAGGAGGTGGTTTGTGAGAATCAGAGTGAACAATGTCACCAAAACGACCCCAAAAAAGCAGCAAATCCCCATGGGAATGAGCTGGGGGAGAAGCAGCCCTGCGCTCCAGCAGGAGCCTGAGCACATTCCATGAAGTTCATCTTCCTTGGGCTCTTGTGTTCAAAGGATTTAAACCAATAAAAATGGTTGAATGCATCGTTACATTATTCCATCACAGTTCCCTGACCAACATTTTGAATTACACAAAGCATGGACCCCCAAAGGGCTCAGGGGGGCCAATCCAACCCTGGCAGGGCTGGGATCATCAGGGAGGAAACAGGAACACTGGGGGACACAGATGTACTCACACTCTAGATCCATTTTCTCTTCTTTCTGCCTGATTTTAAATGGGCTTGAGCAGAATGGCAAATGGAATTGCTGCTGCCAACACTGGCTTGGGTAATTCTTCTGCACTGGTTTTAAATAAAACACTGACCACGAGCACAAGATCTTTTACAGGGCTTCAAACTCGGGTGGAACACAGAACACATGGGCTGGACTACATGTTTGATAATTCAGGGTAGTTTATCCAATGTAATAGAAAAGAATTTGTTGGAAGAGGCAGCCTTTGAGTACAGTGCAACTGCTTACATGTTTGTAATTTAAATTCTTAACTGACTATCTTAACTAACTACATCAGAGGAATAAGGCAGCTCCAGCAGTGTGAGCTAATGGGTAAAAATCATTAATATCCCACGAGCTGTGTGAGGGAGGATGAGCTCGTGCTCCTCACTGCTTGGAACCAAATTTGTGACATTGGCTCTCAGCCTTTACACAGAGACCCAGCAGAACAGGAACTCCAACCCCCAGCATTTCAGCAGGTGGGATTCCAGTTTAGGATGTGACAGATTTGCCTCCAATTCCCTGTCTGCCACAGACCTCCAAAACACTGAATTGGTCTCACAGGCCCTGAGCACAAAGGTGTTTAAATAAAATCAGAGTCTGGTACTTTAAAGTATTTGAGGTGCTGATTTTAAAATGATTTCAAAGCTCAATTTTGTTTCTTCTCCTTACACTCTGTCACTTTTGTCCTTTTTTTTTGCTTAATATCCCTGACAGAAGCTGTGCCCTTTCACATTTACCCATTGTGAAGTTCATTGTAGTAACTCTTAAAATCAAATTACATTTGTAAAATAAAATATCAAATCCCATGTCTGCTCATGTATCCTTTTAATGCAAATAGATTTGAAAAATCAATTTATGTTGAAATAAGGTATTGTATATCCTACTGCTGTGTTGTGCAAGCTCCACTCTCAGTGATTATTTTTTAGGCAAGAGTGCATTAATGATTATACCTTGATGCAGATCAGAACTGAAGGGGTACCAAGCATTTTGTTCCACCTTGCATTAATTGTTCAGCTCCAGCTGATTTTCCTGGGGTGAGTGGAGCCAACAGCTCCAAGAGGAGCTCCTGCCTTGCTGCTTTCATCCCAAATGCTTCCTGCTCACCCCTCCCTGCATTTCAGCAAATCCAATTCACCTCAGGAAGTTCATTCTGTTTCCAGAGCTGACAAAACAAGTATTTTCAAATTACACTTCCAGATTCTTTATTATAACTAATGCTGTCTGGAGGAATTTTGTAAATGTGAAGTTTAGTAAGTGATGCAAAAAGAAACAATTTGGCATCAGGGGAGACTGGGTAACAAGGAATGATTTGTTTTAAATGTGACAGAGAAACATTTCCTAAACTGTTCTGCTCTCTCTTCAAACGCTGAGCAGCTTTCAGTGCCAGACTGAAGCCCACCAACACAAAAAAGGAAAAGCAGGACTGGTCAGAGTGAAGGTTACTGCAATTCTCCAGCCCTGTTTGGGATCTGCTCCCTGCACAAAACCTACCCACTCTGCTGCTGCCAGCTCCTTCATTTCCACCGAGAAAGCCACTGCAAACCTGGGGAAACCGACAAAAATAGTTGGGATCATCTGCTTAAAGTGTTTTAACATAAAAAAAAATGTACTTCAGATAAAATCTTGATAAGAACTAAGATCAGAGGCTTATAAACCTGATCCCAGATGAAAGACAGAAAGCTGGCTTTCCTCTTGCTTCAGCAGAAAATCGTGCTTAAACCCACGGCAGCTCCCCAGGCTTTGCAACTCCGAGCTCCTGGGAAGGTGAAGTGAGGATTTGTCTGAGCAAGAGAAACCCCAAATAACGGGGACAGCTCAGCCAGGTTAATGCACACAGCTGCAGCAGGAATCCTGAGCTCCTGCCCCACTGCAGAGCCCTTCTGACACCACAACACAGCCCAGGAGGGAGCTGAGCTGCTCTCCTTCCATGCTCTGACAATCCCAGTGCCACTGCCTGCAACACAGCTCAGTGCAAATGAAGATTTTAAACCTTTCCCCATGTCCTCCCCTTGTTTCTCACAGGGAATAACAGAGCTGGGACTCTTGGGGTAATGTGTCCAGGACTGTCCCTGTGCAGAGCACAGAGAGGAACAGTTCCAGTTCTGGGAGTCCCATCACAGCACCAAAAGGAACAGTTCCAGCTCTGGGAGTCCCATCACAGCCAACAAAAGGAACAGTTCCAGTTCTGGGAGTCCCATCACAGTCACAAAAGGAACAGTTCCAGTTCTGGGAGTCCCATCACAGCACCAAAAGGCTGACTTCTACACACAGCTGATAAAGGAGTTATTCCAGCTGGGACCTTGGTGTAAGAGCAGGAAGGCCGTGAGATGTTTTCATCACTTAATAAAGATCCCCTGTTCAGAGGGGATCTCAAGGACAGCCTGGATTTTAATGTGGCTTTTAAGTTGTAATGGAACACAACAAAAATGTGCTTTGGATGCTCTCAAATGGAACTTCAGTGTTGGCTGGACCCTCAAATGGGGCCATTTCTGGAGACCCTCAGTCTGTGGAAAAGGATGTTTGGATGCCTCCTTCACTCTGCCTGGCCAAACTCCTTTCTTTAATTCCTTCTGGAGACACTGAATGTAAAACAGAGTCCATCACACATTGCACTGATGATTCAGTGCTGCCTTTTCATGGAATTTCTGAAATGTTTCTGTCCTGGGCCGACCCTCTGACACCTTAAAGGCTCGAGATAAAGCACCACAGCCACAACCAGGACAGAGCTTCTCCACTGGAGGGGTTATGTCCTAATTTGGGGGCATGAAATCACAATAATTCATTAAAATTCCCATAAATTATAATTATAACCCCTACTTTTGTTTGCCAAACAAACTGTATTCCCCTACATTTGTTTTGTGGGATCTGTTTTATGGCGCTCCAATGAATTTCATACACACGACTTGACAGCTTTAAGGTTATTAAAGCCTTTGCAAATGCTTGTTTTGCCAAGTTGCACATGCTCCCTTCCCAGATTTTGTAATTATCCTTTCAATACATCACATTAACAAGCATAAAAAGATGTTGCTTCTAAGTCTACAAAATACTGTTCAATTGGAAAAAAAAATACCCTAGAGGAGTACAAGCACCATTTAGAGGAATTTGATTAAAAATGAAACACTCATAAAGCTAGAAAGTGTTCAATAGTTTGTTTTATGGAATGTGGTGGGATATTGTACTGGACAAGTAATCTACAATTCATGATGCTTTCTGCTTAGAGCCCTGCAATCAATAAAGAAAAGAAAAAAAAAATCAATGTTTCTTTTAATAACTCTGCAATGAATAACAGCAGTGATGCTGCTGGAGAAGAGGCACTTTCAGGATAACTTCTGGAAAACTGAGACACTTTTCCTGTAGCAGAGAAAATATTGTAAACTGCATAAGGATGGAGTGATACACTGTGAAATACCACAGATAATTCAAGCTGTTAAGGTATACTTCAGGTTCCCAACTCAATATCATTAAAAAGCATTCAGCAAAGCACAGTTTTTGTGTTAGCTGTATTTGTGACAGACGATATTTTAAACAGAGATGGATCAAATGGACACACTCAGAGATTGTTTTTATGTATTTCTCACTTTGCCCAGTGCTGAAATTTATCTGACACATTAGATAGCTTCTTGTTTTCCTTCAGACCTGTTTAAAGAATAAATTCTGATTATTTGATAACAAAAGTAAACAAGTACATGAATTTTACCCTGAGTGGGACCCTTAAGCTGCTTTCAACCCCGAGTGCCACTGAGACAGGAGAACATGCCCTAATGATTTTCCAATGAGCAGTGATTAAGAGCTGTCTTTAAAACCTGTTGGCTTCCCACATTTTATAGGGGATTACAGACAGAGCAGCACAGCTCTGCCAGTGTTCAGTGAGCCAATAACAGCTGGAAAACAGAGTAGTGTCAGCAAGGGTGAAACAGGAGGGAGATTCTGCTGCAGATTCTGCCTGAGCCAAAACCCACCCTGCTCCTTGCAACAAGAATCCTCCCCCAGCATGGCCCCAAACACTGCTCCAGTCAACAAACCTTTGGATCAGGCAGGAGAAAACCTCTTTTCAAAACTATGAAAAATGCTCAGAAGTCTTTTGGGCAATTTCCTCTGGTTTGTGATCAGTTCTACGTTTGATATCTGTCACTAAAACTTTCCAGACTTTAAAACACCCTGAAAATTCTCCCTTGTCATTTCACCTAAACACTGAGAGAATTTGCTTAAAGGCTTTGTTTCAGTCTCTGCCTCTCTGCTCATGGATCCAGGGAAAGGACCACGATAGGGGGAGAAAAAATAAAAGGAAAAAAAAATCTGTTTGTACTTGAGGGATGTGCTTTTCAGCCAGGCACTCTGTCCATGAGCTGTGTGAGGAACAGAGCAAACACAACACAGACTGCACACAGACTGTTTCCTGATCCAACTGAATCTGATCCCCATCACTGAATCACAAACTAATCACAAACTAATCACAAACTAATCACAAAAAATATGTAAAGATCACGAGGATTTCAACAACTCCTCTGCTGCCCTACACATCTTCCAGTGATTCCAAGTGTGTCTGGAAAACTTCCTAAAAGATCTGCCACACAAAAATACAATTTCCTGTGATAAATCTTTCCCCCGTGCTCTTACCTGGCTTCCTGCAGCACTGCTCCCATTACCTGGCACTTCTCTCTGCATTTGATATCTTCATTGACATCTGTCCCACCAAAGATGATTCCAAAAGGAATTCTGCTCCCTGCAAAGCAATGGCTGCAATGAGAATTTTCCCAGCGTGTCCACGTGAAAAAGCACACTGATAATACTGAATCACCTCTGTGGGCAGAACTCTTTGAAAAGGAAACCTGGAGAAACTTGAATTTTTATTTTTTTTAGCACTGAAACCCTCCCAGAGTAACTCTGAACTTTCACAGGACACCAAACCAAATGGGAAACAAATGTTGATAAGGATAGAACACCTACCATAGATTTTACATTTGCATTTGAAAGTTAAGTGAGCTGTAAGATCAGGATTTATTAGCATTGCTAATTTCCTCATTACTAAATGAGAGAGCAAGCAAAAAGAACGAAAGATTAATTACCATGCTGGCTACTTGGAGAATTTCCTTGGCAGTTGTTGATATTCCACTCTAATGTTTGCAGGTGAAGGGAATTAATGTGCACTATCAAAACACCACTGCCTCTAATCTTCAAGAGACAGGCTGTCTGTAATACATTATAAAATATGTATCACCTCTTTAATAAATTTAAAAAGTAAATAATTCTTGTGTCATCCTTTACGTGTGTTGATCATGTAAACAGAATTTCCAGGATGAGGCCAAACAGATCAATAGTGTGGCAGCAATGGCAGTGTGAGGGTAATCATTAAATTCCTAAATCTCCCAGGAGCCAGGAATCACTCTGAATCCTCTCAAACACTTCTTTCCTCCCAAAAGTCTGCTGAGATGATCACAGTCAAAGAGTAAAAGCTATTGCAATCTTACTGTTACTGTCTTGGCTTTCAGATTTTGGTTTATTTTTCTTTCAGTTACTGCAGATACTTTTTAGAACAGTGTAACTGATTTATATAAATATTTATTTAAATATTTAAATCAGTGTAACTGATTTATTTAAATGCCTGAGCTTTTGTAAAGTTTTCAGGTCGCTTGAAAAGCTACAGCAGCAGCATTTAGGCATTGCCATTCAAGTTCAACTCAAATAAAATTTCACTCCAATAAATAGTTAAAATTCAACTTTAACTTTTGTTCCTCAGGAAAAATCCCCAAAAAACAAAAAAAGATGGTTCTCAGACTTTCCATAAAGCTCTTCCAAAACAATCCAAGGTCTTGTCAAGAAACCAACCATCTCTCTATTCCAACAAGCCTTAATTGATATGTTAGCAGAGCTCATTTTGCAGACTAATTCCAGACTTGTATTCTAGGTCCCTGCTGAAATCAGAGCCCCTTTGGAACAAAGGAAACCCAGGCAGAGCAGACATGATAATTCAGGCTTTCTGCAAAGCCACCACAACAAACTGAAGTCTCCAAAGCAGCACAGCAGAGCTCACCCTGAGACCCGAGGGAAATATGGAATTATGTCTTTGTTGCAGTGGATGGATTTATACAACACAGAGGTGCTCTCAGAAAAGGATGCACACTTGCAATTTCAGTAGGTGACAGTGGCTGTAATTCTGAGAGCCAGTGCTGCTGCTATGTCATTAATGGCAGGCTAAAATTTTGTTCTACGTGGCTAGAGAGAATAGAAAATTTTATTATTTGTCTGATAACATCCTGTCTCCTATAGTTTAGCTGACAGGAATGTTATTTCATGTTGAAAAACCCTGACTCATTTTAGAGAAAAAAAAAAATCAAATTAGCCTCCCTGCTTTCTTCCATTTGACCCCAGCTCTACTTAGCCAAGCCATTTTCCTCTGAAAGAACACATTTGCTGAAAGGATCCTGATGTTAAGGTAATGCTCTTATCCTGATGTACTTAAAGTACTTAATTATCAAAAGCACTATGTGGTTTAAAAGTACATTTATGTAGTTCTCTCCGTATCAGATCTCCCACTGAGAGAGATTTTTAACATTTCTGAACATTTGCTGAAGTGGATAAACAGAATGAGGATATTCTGTGTGGGTTTATGCATTTACAGCCATTTATAACAGCTAGGATTCGTTCTCTTCCCTTGCAGGACTTCTTTAAGAGGTATTTTTATCACAAGCAGAAGGAGGATTACCTTGCAGCAGTCTGCCTGCTTTATAGAGGTGAATGGCCAGGGCTGCATCAAACTCATCTGTGGAGGTCAGATTTGCTATTTCAGCTGGACTCCCATACATGAAAGCATCTTTTAGAACACAGGTGTGACCTGCAGCATGGAGATGATCCCTTCATTATTGGAAAAAACAGAAGAAGAATGCAGAAGTCACTACTCATGTCAAAGGCACACCAGCAGATGAAGTAAATTAATCAAAATATTTTCCCTTAAACTTTGCTCTGATTTTCAACTTGATGCCATTTTTGTTCAAGCAGCCAGGAGCTTTTGCCAAGGTTGGGTTTTTTCCTGGAAGGTTTTTGTCACCTGTGGAGCCACAGGCATGGCCTCAAGCCTGGAAATCAGAATTAATGAAGGATTAATTAATTAACCCAGGACCCTGAGTGCAATTTCTGATGCTGAAACCCTCCTTTAGCAGTGAGTGTGTCACACTTTGCTCTCAGAGATTCTCAGACCTTCCCTTCTGCAGAAAGGACACCCAAGTGAAGAAAGCACAAATATGTCCATCTGCTCAATGCTACAAAAACACAGAAGATAAAAACTGATGCATCAAGAAGGGCAGAGCTGAATGTTTCCCCTTCCTGTTTGATCGTGGGATTAATTGCTTCTTGCCTTAGCTCACCCATTTATAAACCAAAGGATAACTGAAATATAAGCAAGAAACTACACAGAAGTAATTACACAAATACCTTCACAGCCTGCTTTAAAAATCTCAGCTCCAAAAAGAAAAATCAACAGATCCAAGGACAGGTTGGTAAATCAGCTTACCCATTCATCTTTGGAAAGAGTGCTTCCTCAAATTAAAACATTGTGCAAAGACTGTCAAAGCCAAGAAACTGATTGATTTAATAAACTTAAATTTTTAATTTAATTTAAATGAAAGACAGCTTTACTCCTCTCCCTGAAACCAGCATCAGTTATCAATGTTCCCAAGAACATCAGCCAAAACACATCCAGGAGGAAATCTGTGCCTGCCCACCCTGAGTCTTTGCACTGCAGTGTCATAAAAACACCACAAGAATGTTCCCTGCTAATTCCAGATCATCACAGCTGATTTATTTCTCATCGTGTATTAATTGTTCTGGCATTAAAATCCTGCTAATTCACTGACTTCCTGGATAATGCTGGCTTTCATTTCCTGATCATTTCATAGCCTCCCAAGAAATGTCATTTTCTGTCCTGCAGAAGTTAGTCATTACTGCAGAAATTGCTGCTAAAAGTGCTGTAAAATGTCTGGAGGACATTTAGGATTAGCACCACATCAGCTAGAGCTCCACTGGCACAACATATGGTGCTGGATTTCTTCCTCATCCCAAAAAGAAACTCCTTTTAACTCCGCTGTTTGGAACAAGAGCAATAAATTGTGAGAAATACCAATAAATAATAGAACACAGCCCCATTTTAAGCTCCTTATTTACACTGCTGAGCAATTATTACCACCAGCAGCCCCATGAACTGGCTCTCAAAAGAGGTTCTCAATTTGTATCTAAATAATGATGCCCAAATGTCCCAGCTGTGGAGAGAAAATCTCCTGGGCAAACTCGTGCATGCATCCCAGAATTTCACAGGTGCTCATTAAACAGTCTAAAAGGGTTTTTTTTCCCATCAGTATCCCAATTACCATAAATCACTATCATGTACAAGCAATATGTTTGCATATTACAATTAATTTGAAAATAACTCTCTCAGGACATCAGGAATGGAGAAACTCAGCATGGAATTCCAATGAAAAGTGGTTATTTTTTTTAAAATGTACCAAGGATGACTTCTCCTCCACGCTTCCCACCTCTCCCAATCCCCCTGGGGAATGACAACTGTTTCAGCACTAAATAGAGAGGGACTCCCTCAAGTGTTCCAAGGCTCAGAAATTATGCATTACCTCTAGTATTTATTTGGGTTTTTTTTCTTTTACAGATTTTTATTCTACTCAGGAGCGCATAAAAAAATCTGCATGCATCTTTAGAAGGAAAAATAAGCAAATATTCCCAGAATAATTGAAATTCACAGGCTTAAAGGGGCCTTGATCCCCTAAACATTCCACTGAGTTTGGTATCATTAATCACAAGCTTCACATTATGCATATATGGAAATACCAGGGTGTAGAAGCTGAGTTACCAGGTATTTCAGTTCTGAAATTTACAACGTTATTTTCTTTTCTGAGTGGCTTTTCACCTCTATAACCAAAAAAAGCAGACTGTGATTTTCACACACACATGCTGCTACCAAGGAGCACGATGAGAAGTTCTTGCAGATGGTTTTTTAAAGACTGCTGTGTCCATGAAGTCCCAGATGTCCCTGAGTGCAGCCAGCACAGAGGAGACACATCATCCCTATCTCTTCTCCTCCAGGAAAACGCCTTGTCACATTGTTCTGCCATTCCATAAACAAATATTTTCTGAATGAGAAATAAAAATCAGCCCAGCTCCTGCTGCCTGGGAATTAAAGACAATGCTGAAGTGCCCAGTCTCAAGGCTCTGTTTCTATCCCAGCTCCAGCACAGGAGATAAATTCCCACCTGTCCAAACAAACAGTGATTATTCCTTGGATTGAGAATGTGCCTTGCCCCATTTCTCCCTTCTGCTGAAACTCTCATGGAAGCCAATGCCACAACTTGGGGAAAATAAGATTTCTAAAACGGAGCAGAGCTGTCAGATCCCAGATTTGGGGTGTTTTTCTAGGCAGAAAGCATCAGGGAGAACTTCAGCCACTCAGTAAATGTGAAAGAGCATTTTTAGAAGTACATGATGCTGCTCACTGCTTACACTGTGATATTTATACACACCTGAATATTGGACAAATATCCTCATTTTAGCATTCAGGAAATTAATTTCCCTTTTGTTTGGTACATTTTTTATATTCTTTGGAAGTCACAAAGCTTGTTAGTGGAATTTCTAAGCGTGTTTTCTGGCTCTGTGCTGTGTGCAGGGAGATCCTGCTGAAAGGTACAACCCTTTTCTCTTTCCACTCTGAGATTCCCATCCAAAAAACATTTTTCTCTAACACATCTATGAAATACCAATCAATGTTTTACAATGTTTCATTTTCTATTCCCTACAAAACTGATCACCACTGCTCCCTTTTCCTGGCCAGCATTCCTCCCTCCCTCAGCAGGAATCTGCAGTTCACAGGTTTTCATGAGGAAACAGAGTTCCAAACACAGCCTGGCTGAGGAGAAGGCACAGGAGTTAAAATTGTGATTATTCCTAAGGTACTATGGCTGTGAAAGTTGCTCAGTTTTCTGTGATGTCTTCATTTCAGAAACATTTATGTTCTAAATTCCAACTGACACCGATCTAATGGAATTACTTGCAGACAAAGAATGTTTGATTTCCAAAAAGTTCCTGGTAGGTGGATACACTGACACTTCTTGAATGGCACAAAATAGGCTTCATCCAAAAATATTAATTATCTCTTTCCCTCAGCTGTCTGCTCTGCACAGCAGCTGTGCACAACTCCTGTTATATTATATATATTTAACTATACTGTTAAACGTACATGGCACAATTCAGAGCCATAAGTGAGCAGAGTTCATTCCACTGCCTGTGAGACACCCAGCCACACCTGGATAATCACAATTCCCACTGAAGCTCTGAGCTGAAACCCTGCTTCATTTGCTGTTCTATTCATAAATTATCTTCTGCTTTTCCTAATTGTTAAAACAACACAACCTTCATTTTATTTCCCTCTCAAGCTTCTCCTTGAAGCAACACAGACAAATTGCATTGGTGTGAGTCAACTGTGACTAAAATTCACTGTGAATCACAGAAGTTAAAGATGTGAGCCAAGATGGGGACCAGCTCCTCCTGTCTCTGCTCTCAGTTCTGCAGCTGAGCTCCAAGGACCAAAGAACTCTGCAAAGTTTAAACCTGTGCTAAAAATACAGATTGTTGTACTGTTGTGGCTGCAGATGAACACCTGTCCTGCAGGTTCCTGCTCTGGGAATGGCCCTGCAGAGCCAGCAGGGACCTCCAGAACCTCCAGAACCTGAGAAGGGACCTCCAGAACCTGAACAGGGACCTCCAGAACCCAAGCAGAACCTCCAGAACCTGAACAGGGACCTCCAGAACCCAAGCAGAGCCTCCAGAACCTGAACAGGGACCTCCAAAACCTGAACAGGGACCTCCAGAACCCAAGCAGAGCCTCCAGAACCTGAACAGGGACCTCCAGAACCTCCAGCACCCCAGCAGGAGCAGCAGGGAGCTGCAGGAGCTCCCACACCTGCCCTGAGGACAGGAGGACCCCTGCCCTGGGAGTGCTCTCCTGTGGGATGGAGCACTGGCACGCAGGGCAAGGTGAAGCAGCAGAAATGTCTGGATCACTGAATTACTGCAGTAAATGTCTCAGCTCAAACCCAGCTGTCCAGAGGAATGATAAGTGCCGCTGAATTTGTGGTTTTAATTCTCTCACAGTTGATTTCCTGGAGATTTACAGAAAGGCTGTCTCAACTGGCCAGTTAACGAGAGGCAAAACAATCTCTCCCTCTCCAGAAAACATTTACATATTGGCAAAACAGTTAATCTAAATCTTTCTAATTAACCTATTAATTCCAGATTTCTATTCCTCCTCACTGCATGAAAGATCAACAAAACATTTCAAGGGGCAGGGAAGAAAAATTTATTTTCCTCCTTGACATCCTCTTTGATCTCATTTCTGAGGCTGAACAAAGACTTTTGCTTAGTGCTGTATTCTTTATTCACTGCTCCTGTTTTTTAAGGTGATTAAAGATTATGCACACCAATAGGAGTAAAGCCCACAGCACATTTCTTACACCACTTGTTCTAGCAAGTTGATTTTTAGCCAAATTGGATCCTGGTGCCTTTGTCACCACTCACTTTTAACTCAGGAAATGAATATCTTATTTATGAAAAGATGAAGCAGTTATTGGAAGAGTTGTAATATCATAAACAGAGTATACTCTGTGATATTAAGCCATAAAATTAATCCATGCTGGCAGGTGTTCAACCCAGAGACAACGTCACTGTTTCATTTATATTTAACCAAAAGTTCAGTATTTAGAAAAACTGAATAAATAACTTCCTAAGCACATGCACAGATACAACTGAAGGCAAATGTTAACTGCAATATGTATTTTATGTGTATTAACACACATGATCCAGAGTTTGCCATGTGCACACAACCTCAGTATGGCAGATTGGTGTTAAAAGAGACACAGCCACACACAAAGGTTTTGGGGTGACTTTTAATGGTATAAAGTCTTAAAAAAATCAGTATGGGATAGAAATAGCTGCACAGGATGGTTTTAGTGATGACCTAGCCTTTTAGTCAGGAATATGGACTTATATTATTAAATATAATTAATAGTATTGTTTATAGTATATTAATATTATTATTAATATCACAATCAATATTTTATTATGCTATATTATTAATTATTATTAATAATATAATATAATAATATTAATAATATAACAATATAATGTAACTATATAATATATACTATAATAATATTAATAATATAATATAATAATATAATAATAGTAATATTATATTACTATTATATTATTAAAATTAACATTATATTATAATTAATATACTTATTATGCTATATTATTGATTATTATTGATATTATTGTCTATAGTATATTATTAATATAATACTATAATTAATATTTTATTGTTATATTATTAATTAATATTAATATTATTGGTTTGAAATACCAAAACCTTCATCTTTCTCTGCTCTGGGTATCTTCAGAGCCTGGGTGAGCTACAGGACCAGCAGATATGTTCTGCCAGCGCCTTTCACAGCAGAGCAGCCCTGCAGAACTCTGAGGCTGCCCTTGGTATGGCACAAACTGTGGAAACTTCAATTTGTGAGGATGTTTCCATGCATAACATT